TTTTCTGCAGTCTTTTCAACTATTTGTGTTAACATTGCTGTATTTGCAATAGTTTCTTCTCTTTGTTGTTGTTTTGATGTGCTGTTTATTTTTCTTTGTTTGTTCAAGAAAAAATTTTGTATTTTTAATTTTTTGTTGCAAGTTTCTTGTATTCCAAGAGGAATATATTTTTCTTTTCTTTGGTACAAAGGCTAGTGCCTTTGTTGAGCCTTGTTTTGGGTAGTTTGTAAACTTGTATTGAGTAGTTATCATGTATATTGTTTTACACTCTTTCCCTTACGAATTTGTTCGGGAGAGAGTTTGTGTCGATATTATATTTAATTTATTAACAAAAAATATTCTTTGCCTAATTTTATATATAATTTATGGGGTTTTATAATTTAGTATATGTGCATTGTAACGCACCTACCTAATCGACCAATCAGATTGTAAGATTAGGTGTAACGCAAAATCAAAAAAGTAGCGATGTTTTAAAAAAATCATAATTTTGTTTATGAATCCACCTTTTATGTTCTAACAAAAAAAATTCTTGCAAAATTTTGATCTTACATTAGTGCTAACTCTTACCCTAAATTAATGTGTTACTTACTGATTTGTTTTAATTTTACATTACACTGGATATTATGGATGTGTCACAACGCACCCGCACTAAATTATAAAATTGATAATACAGTCAACCCCCTCTATAGTCACCTCCTCTATAGTCACAAAATTGATATAATTACTAATTTATTTTTACCAATTATTTATAACAATATAGAAAATACCTCTATATTAGTCACATCTCTTTATAATCACGGTTTTTTGTATCCTGAAGGTGTGACTATAAAGAGGTTGACTGTATATCTATTTAAATTTTATTAATAACTTTAATATTTAAATATTTATAATTAATTTTAAAGTTTATAACTATTTTTAACCAGTAGTGATGTCACCGCCTTTAATTTTTATCAAAATTTAGGGTTAGGGTGCAGTTTTAGAAAAAATAAAGGCTAGATATAAAGGTCCAAATTTCAGTTAGGGTTAGGTTTTTGGGGTCCTGAACATTTTTGCTTAGTACCCCTGACATGTGTTAGCTAGTAGGTTTTTGAGATACAGTACTCTGGGTGACATCACCACGGGGGCAAGTTAGCAACAGAATTTTTTTTTACAAAATTTTTAATATATATTAAAAATATATTAACAACTTTATAATTAAGTTAACAGTTTTAACATTATTATATAATATTGTAATTATTATTATTATTTTTTTTGAAAAACCGCATTTAAGCATACTTTTATTTATATTATATAATTAAATATATTTACATTGGATATCTAATAAAATTAGTTATGTTTTTGGCCTTGTTTGGCCTAGAGTTTATGTTTTGGTTTGCTAACTTGTATAAAAGATTAAACTCGTATTTGAGTCGTATCGTAACTATATTAGCAATTGCTTTTTGAGGAATTGTTACTTCTTTCCATCTAGCTTGCGTATACCAACACCATATTTCATATAGTGCTGTTATATAAAGCCATAATGCCGCATTCCTTTTTTTAGAGTTTCTGATATTTGTAACTTGTAATATTTCCTTTAGTGTGACTGGAACTGATTTCTTTTCTGATCCTTTGAACATTTTATATGCAGTTTCCTATATTGTTTTGCTTATTGGACATTTAAGAGCTAAGTGCTCTATTGTTTGTGTAATGTATAGGCAGTTAGGGCAGTCTCTCAGGTTTTGTTGATCAATATGAATTAGTCGATAGCCTAGCGGAAGTGCTCTGTGAGATAGATACCAAAAGATATCTTTTTTCTTGTTTAGAATCCATTTTGTTTTAAGCCATTTATAAGGGCTATATTTAAAGTTGGTGCCATTCTGACTGTCATATAGAAGGTCTGTTGGTAGGTTTGACCGCCTATATAGATTTTTAAGAACCTTCTTGACTGTAAATTGTTGTCCATCTATATTATCAATCTTGATTTGCTTTAAAAACCATGACCAGGTATGGTTTGCCTCAATTTTGCCTTTAAATCTTCCTTATGCTGTTATGTAGGGTTTCTAATTATCTGCCTATCCTTTGGTTCTGCAGGGAGATTAAGAAAGGGCTTCATTAGGAGTAAGTTTTCTTTTGTTATAGAGATCTAATGTTGCATTACTTCTTTCCGTTATGGCCCAAAAAGTATTACTTGAAAGAAGTTTAATCCAAATTGATAGTAGCCTAGCATCCAGCATATCTTTAAGAATAGGAGCTGCCAGGCCTTCCTGTTCATAGCTAAGCTAAAAGACTGAATATTGTAGCAGTATTCTAGAGTTTTTTTTAACCCAGTTTGTCAATAAAGTGTTTATTTCATTTAGTTGTTTTCTTGTTGGCAGAAGCAGGTAGGCTAGGTACCAGATTTTTGAAATTAGCAGAGTTTTGGTGGCTAGAATTTTCTCTTTGAAAGAAAGATTTCTGTGAGAAAGATCCTAAGGTAGGTATGGGTATTATACCGCATTACTAATTATGGCGCAGTTACAATATCTCGTGACCCATTGATTGGAATTATACAATTTTAGTATCAATCGATTCGTCTCAGTGAGACGAATTGATTGGTGGTAAAATCATCCAAATCCAACTACTGGATCACGAGATATCGCTAATAAACCACAATACCCTTATTGCACCATTTTGCTATTTAATTTTGTATCACCTACAATCCTCAATAACTCGTGACTCTGTGATTAGAATTAAACGATGTTTAATTCGGATTAATCGATCACTAGTTACGCAAATTTTACTTTTAATTACTATCTTTATCTTATAATATTTAAATAGCAATATTTTCAGATCCAGCAATCATTATTAAACGATTTTTATGTCATTCAATTCGTCTCATTGAGACGAATCGATTGGTGGTAAAATCGTTCAAATCTGATCACTAGATCTTGAGATATTGCTAATGCGCCATAATACTCTTATTGCGCTACATTATTCTTTAAATTTTGTGTAATATACGATCAACAATAACTCGTGACCCAGTGATCAGAATTAAACGATTTTGGTATCGTTCGATTCATCTTGATGAGGTGAATCGAATGGTATCAAAATCGTTTAATTTGGATTGATAGATCACGAGTTATACTAAATTTTAGCTTAACTGTGCCATAATACCCATACCTACCTTATATCTTGTTTTTGATCTTCTTTGTCATGTTGGCCCAGAGAGTTTTATCTGATTGGCCATTTGTATCAATCTCATAGCCTAATACAGTAAATGTATTTTGGCTTTCATTTAAGAGCTTAAACCCTGGTTGGTTTGGTAGCTCGATTCTTCTTGCATTATCTGTTAAAAGAATTAATGTAGATTTGGATTTGTTAATAATTGCGTTGGAGGCTTTTTCATATTTTGCAAGTATATTAAAAAGTGTCAACCAGTCCAAAGGTGAACCAACTCCTATTGTGAGGTTGTCTGCATAGGCTGCTATTTTAAAAGCTGAGTTGTTCACTAAAATACCTCTAAGATTGGTATGAAACCTGCATCTACTATGTGTGCTTTTTGTGTAGAAAACAGAGCTCTAACAATGTTAATAAACTTATAGCTAAAGTTCATCTTTTCCAAAACCAGCTGAATAAAGTTATGGTTTACTCTATTGAAGGCCTTTTGTTGGTCTAGAAGAAGAAGCTAATGTTGTTTAGATTGGTCTTTCTGGTTTCTTAAGGTTGTAATAATGTCTAGTACAGTGGTCATTATAGATCTTTCAGCTATAAATGCTTGTTGAGCTGGGCCGATTATTTGGTCATATATTGGATTGATTCTGTTTGCTAAAATTTTCATAAAAATTTTAGCATCTGAATTCACTAGCGAAATGGGTCTCCAGTTGTTTACACTTGTTAGATCCTCTACTTTCTTTGGGATTAAAGTAATTAGACTTTTGCTCCAAGATGTAGGGATTATTCCAGAGTTGAGAATGTTGTTGAAGAGCTTAGTTAGTATTGGTAATACTATTTCTTTTGTATTCATATATTAGACCATCTGCTCCGGAAAACTTGTTATTAGGAAGTTTGTCGATCGTTTGGCTAATCTCTTCCTCTGAGATGGGCCTAGTTAGAGTGGTGTTTTGTTCGAGAGATACTTGTGCAAGATCTTGAGTGAGGTAGAGAGCTGCTTCTCTGTTGATGTCCTCTCTCTTGTATATTTTTGGTAGTATTCTTTAATATAATCTAAAAGTTGCTCTTGTAATGTCGTATCTGGTTTGTCTGAGATTCTTATTTTGAAACTGCAGGATCCTGAATGTTTCTTTTTGTAAAAGCCAAAGAAATATTTAGTAGATTTTTCTCCTTCTTTGATCCATTTGGCATTAGATCTTAATCACCATTTGTCAGATAACAGAGTTAATTCTTCTTGTAGTTTTAGATTAACATCTTCTATAACAAGTTTGAGCTCTTCAAGATTCAGATTTTTGATTAGTTTGTTATTGAGACCTCAAAGTGTTTTATGCAGCTTTTGGATATTCTTGCAATGTTTTATATATTTTGAAGTTCTCCTGTAATATCCTCCTTAAGCTCTGGTATATTCCAATATTTTCTGTCAAATTTCCATAAGGACTTAGTATTGTGCTTAGGTTTAAGGTTAAGTTCGCTTTCTACCAAAAGGTGGTCTGAATTTCCAAAGCGGGTGCTGGTGTTTGTATATAAGTTACTGAAGTTTGCTTCAATGAAGATATAATCTAAATGAGTTGCCATTCTTTGGTTGTCTTGTGTAGTTTGATGATATGTAAGAAAAAGATTTTCATTTGAGAAGAGTGCTAAATCAGTATACTCTTCCAAAAGGTTCTCTAAGAGGCTTTTAGAATGGTCTTGATATGCAGGTGCTTGGCTTACTCTGTTTGTTTCTGGGTTTAAATTAGTGTTGAAGTCTCTGGCAATAATGCAAATGTTTTCAGTAATAGTGCATGGAGCCCAACTTTTAAAGAAGTTAATCCTATCCTCCAGATTAGGAGGAGCATATATGTTAGTGAATAGGAATGGTTGTTGTTTGATTTCTGTTTTGACAGAATTAACTCTTCCATTATGTGATTCCTTCTTGTCTATAAATTTGATGTTTCTTTTGCCTGCTAGTATCACAGTTTTGGGAGACTATATAGAGTCAAAACCCCAAATTTGTGATAAGAAATGTCTTGTATTTAAGTTTTTTAGATTGGTTTCTTGTATCATAATTATGTTTAAATTATATGATTTTAAAAGAGTAAGAGTTTTTTGAGCTTTGGGTCTGTTATTTAGACTCTTGACATTGAGTGTAGCAATCTTAATCATTAAAAAAAAAAATTGAATAGTTTGTGTGTTACACTAGGAGATAACTCTCTTAGTGTCAGTTCTTAGATTCCAGGGGTTCTGTCTAAAGTTTTCTGGAATTCTGTAAGGTTGGCCCGTTCTGTGCTGATTTTTATTAACAAATTTGCCTTTTTGTTTTTTTGAAACTACAGTTGTAAAAGAAATCACATCTTCATCCATAGGATTAGAGTTTGGTTCTTCTTCATTATTACGTAGATCTGATGTTCTTGTATCAGCAGTAGAGTTCGAAGTGGTTGTATCAACTAAAATGTCTAATTCCATATTGTTGACTAGCACTTTACTTGTACTTAATGCCTCTTCATGAACTTTGTTTAGAGTGGTAGATTTATTTTCATCCTGTATAGCTATATCCATATCACTTTTATATGGATTGTTTGGGCTAAAGCTAATTTCAGTGATGTTGTTTTTCTGTGTTTTTTCTTTTTTAATTATGCTCTGGCTTCTCTAAGTCGTTGCCTAG